TTGCCGCGGCTGTGCTGCTCCTGTTCACCGCCAAGCACTGTGACTGCTCCTTGGTTTTGCTCCCCTCGGGTTTCCTGTCTCCTTGATGGTTTATGCAGTGAGGAATCTGAGGCCACACACCGGTAATTTTCCCAGTTACAGCTGGAGGTGTGGTGGTGTATTTGAACTTAATGGAACACCTCTTATTCTCTTCACTCTGAAGTTGGCTTCCTTGCCTATAAAGTTTACTAATAAATCTAAGAAATACAACGACTTTGCATTTTACTGCTGCCGTGTTGAAAATCTCTCAACTTCACAGCTGCTCAGGCCTCGTTACCCTACTTTCAGAGGGAGCCTTTTTCCTTTTCTTCCTTATCTACTTCTCTCATTCCTTTATCATTTATATTTTTAATATGGGAAACTAGACATCCTGTTTCTCAGTTTCCAGATTCTGATACTACAGACTGCTATTGATTCAACAATATGGTCCTTTTCCCAATGACATACACCACATTCTTCTGAAATACAGATGGTTTCCAAACTACCATGGTTTGACTTACAGTTCTTTGGCTTTACGAGTGTGAAAGCAGTATGCATTCTACAGAAACCATACTTATGTTTTGAATTTTGGTCTTTTCCTGGGCCAGCAATATGCCCCCAGGTACTCTGGAGATGCCAGAGAGCTCCTCGTCAGCCAGTGATGAGGGGGGAATGACCCCTGCTCTACAGGGCACTGTGTGGCCAGGTGAGTTTGCCCAGTTGTAGGCTAAGGTAGGTGTTCTGAGCACATTTAAGGCAGGCCAGGCTACACTGTGATGTTAGGTAGGTTACATGTATTCAATTTTTTTTTTTTGAGATAGAGTTTCACTCTGCCACCCGGGCTGGAATGCAGTGGCGTGATCTCAGCTCACTGCAGCTACGCCTCCTGGGTTCAAGCGATTCTCCTGCCTCAGCCTCCTGAGTAGCTGGGACTATTGGCGCCTGCCACCACGCCCGGGTAATTTTTTGTGTTTTTAAAAGAGATGGGATTTCACCATGTTGACCAGGCTGGTCTGGAACTCCTGACCTCAGGTAATTCCTTGGCCTCCCAAAGTGCTGGGATTACAGGCGTGAGCCACTGTGCCTGGCCTCAGTGCATTTTTGACTTAAGTATTTTCAACTTACAATGGGTTTATTGGACATGATCCCATCCTGAGTTAAGGAACATCTGTAGTCTACAAAGAGATACTTGCCAAAGTGTTCACTTAGTTCTGCTGTACTTTAAATAAAAGATATGTGTATCTTTAGTTCAAAGCTGATGCCTTGGAACGGTCTCAAACATGAGAAGAATGTTCCAACAGCAAGATGGAATCATTGTCCTGCAGCGTTGAAATTAGACCAGTGGTGTTTGCATCCTTTTTCCTTGAGAATAAATTTTCTGGATTTTAGTCTATATACTGAATAAAGCCTAGAGGTCAAAGAATAGCAGGGACTTCTGAAGATTCAGGAGTGGCTTTAGAGAGATAGCGGGGACATCATGATGGTTTTCAGCTCTTTAAAAAGATAGGTGTGGGTCAGGTGCGATGGCTCACACCTGTAATCCCAGCACTTTGGGAGGCCAAGGCAAATGGGTCACTTGAGGTCAGGAGATTGAGACCATCCTGGCCAACATGGTGAAACCCTGTCTCTACTAAAAATACAAAAATTAGCCGGGCATGGTGGCAGGTGTCTATAATCCCAGCTACTCGGGAAGCTGAGGCGGGAGAATTGCTTGAACCTGGAAGATGGAGGCTGCATGCAGCCAAGATCATGCCACTGCACTCCAGCCTGGGCAACACAGTGAGACTCCATCACAAAAAAAAAAAAAAAGGCATGGACCTTAATTCATCCCAACTCAGTTTTTATAATCATGTGCAGAAACAAGTAACCTTATATATATAAAAAGGTGGGAGAGAATGTAAACTTGGACTTTATTTATTCACAGTCACCAAGCAGTTTGGTTGATACTGTCTCTGAAAGCATGGACAAGTGAAATGTGTAAGAGCAGAGCTCTTGGGGGCCAGGTGCAGTGGCTCATGCCTGTAATCCCAGCACTTCAGGAGGCTGAGGCGGGTGGATTGCTTGAGCCTAGGAGTTTGAGAGCAGCTTGACAACATCATGAGACCCCATCTCTACAAAAAATACAAAAATTAGCTGAGTGTGGTGGCACATGCCTGTAGTCTCAGCTGCTCAGGAGACTGAGACTGGAGGATTGATTGAGCTTGGGAGTTTGAGGCTGCAGCAAGCTGTGATTGCACCACTGTACTGCAGCCCGGGTGACCACATGAGACCCTGTCTCCGGAAAAAAAAAAAAAAGAAAGGAAAAAAAAAGAGCAGAGCTCTTGGACAAAGCCCTGCTGTGGAAAGCTTGCTTCATCTGGCTCCAGCCACTCCACAACGCCTGTCTTCTTGCTCAGGAAGCTACAGCACTGCTCTAGGAAAAGGGCAGAGAGGGGCCGGGGTCTCCCACAGCTGAGAATCCTTTAAACGATGCCCGTAGGGCCCTCTGCTGTGGATTTGGTAGTTCTGCCTGCACCGAGGGAGATGCTTGCAGGTACTTCCAAACCCTGTTTGGGAATTAGCTGTGCATACAATTCAGGCTTTTAGGTCTAATAAAATGTGTGTGCCTTTGACCCTGTGGTTGAGTCCTTGATGTTAATGACAGAGCTGACATTGGAGCCCTTCTGTCTGCCAGCCAGCACCTCATTGGAAGTGTTTCATGGAAACGTCACAGCCACATGCTGAGGCTGTCCTGTTATTATCCCATTTTATGGATGAGGGAACATTCACACCTAGTAGTTAAGTAAGTGGTCCAGGAAACTACAGTTTACCAGTACCCAAGCTGGGCTTTGACTTCTGACTGCCCCCTGCCTGTGTGCACAGCACAGAAGTACACACACGATGCTTTGTAGTATCAGCTTACGTGGAGATCTGTGTTTACGTAGAATGCCGTGGAAACCACGGGCATAGTATGATTTCACCTATGAACCTGCGCATAAAGACTCTGGAAGGAGTCATTGCTGGGCCACGAGGCTTCACGTGATTTGTGTATTTTTGTAGTCTTCAGTATTGTTTTATAATTAGCGTGTCATTCATCTCGAAGTGTGGGGTGGTTATCAAATAGTAAATTTAGATGTGGGAGAAATTTATAAGTGCTTGATTTTCAAAAGATTGCTGTGAAGTTGCTGGTGAAGGATGAGTGATCAGGCACCGTCAGAGCTGGAGAGGCAGCAGATGAGAGTTGTGTGTTCCCGGTTGCCTGAAGAGTAGCTGGAGAGAGATGCCTCTGGTGCCAGCCCAGCATACGCGATGTGCATCTCGTCACGTGGGTGTTTGGGCTGGTGCCTTGCTGCTGGCTGGCACCTTCTTTTCAGGAACATTGTGGGACATGGGTATCCTCAGCCACAGTTTTGTGGACAGGAAGACCCTGGGCCTCTCTAGTTTCTTTTTTTTCTCCTTCTTTTTGAGATGGAGTTTCACTCTTGTCGCCCGGGCTGGAGTGCAGTGGCGCAATCTCAGGTCACTGCAGCCTCCACCTCTGGATTCAAGTGATTCTCCCGTCTCAGGCTCCCAAGTAGCTGGGATTACAGGCACCCGCCACCATGCCTGGCTAATTTTTGTACTTTTAGTAGAGACGGAGTTTCACCATACTGACCCAGGCTGGTCTCAAACTCCTGGCCTCAGGTGATCTGCCCACCTCAGCTTCCCAGAGTGCTGGGATTATAGGCGTGAGCCACTGCACCTGGCCTAGTTTCTTAACTGAAATAAAACAGAGTAAGATGGCGTGCAGGGCTCATTAGCGCAGCGGGTAAACACCATGACTCTACAGCCAGCTGCCTCCTCAGAAAGTGGGGTGTTGCTGGCCGGGCACGGTGGCTCATGCCTGTCATCCCAGCACTTTGGGAGGCCGAGGCGGGCAGATCCATAGGTCAGAAGATCGAGACCATCCTGGCTAACATGGTGAAACCCCGTCTCTACTAAAAATACAAAAAATTAGCCGGGCGTGGTGGCGGGTGCCTGTGGTTCCAGCTACTCGGGAGGCTGAGGCAGAAGAATGGCGTGAACCCTGGAGGCAGAGTTTGCAGTGAGCGGAGATCACTGATGCCACTGCACTCCAGCCTGGGTGACAGAGCAAGACTCCATCTCAAAAAAAAAAAAAAAAGAAAGTGGGGGTGTTGCCACATGGAAGTGGTGGCAGTGCTTTTCTGGTAGCATTGTTGGAATGAAAACAGGTTCAGTCCTTGATTACTAGGCTCTTTGTACCCAGGTACCTCTGGGGACCTGGCAGAGAGTTCGATCTCTCAGTGTCCAGGGGTGGACTTCCTACCTGGGAGTAGCACCGCATTCTTCTCCAGCACCTGCTCCTAACCAGGAAATTGGGGTAGACCAGAACCCCTAGTCTTCCCAGCAACTCAGTGTTTCTTGCCCCAGAGCATGTGCCTTCATCACAGTGACTGAACATGCTGACAAGGTGCCATTTGGTAAACCTTAGGATGGCCATGAAAAATGACTCCTTATTCTGTTTCTTCTGTGGCTTCCCTTGTGAGCAAAGATGAAGGGGGTGGTTTCATTTTATTTTTGTCCTTTACGTTTTAAACATGTTTTAAGTCTAAAGTAAGTGCTCAAATCGGGTGGCTTTTTATTTTATTTTTTTGCTTTCTTGCCCCTCAGGTTGGCCCCTAGCTTGGCCTCACCCTCGTGTCAGCTGTTAGACACTGACTCAGTGGCTCAGAATATGAAAGGCTCAGGGAGTAGCATGCTGGCCCCCCCTCCCGTCCCCGTACCTTAGCGGAGCAGCTGCCCAGCAGGGCCTTCTGCACTTTCCCAAGAGTTTACTCCATCCATGGTGGGTGTCTTGGTACGCCCGAGATACGAGAGGGTGTGCTGCTGTTGCAAGAATTTACGATTGTTCTCTTCAGCACAGAAGTGCTATAAATGGTTCTTTTGATACTAGTTTATGAAATTATAAATGTCTGATAATTGTGCGTCTTTGGTTTCAACAGCCACTCTGACCTACGACACTCTCCGGTTTGCCGAGTATGAAGATTTTCCGGAGACCTCAGAGCCCGTTTGGATACTGGGTAGAAAATACAGCATTTTCACAGGTATCGGCTGTGCTGGAGCCCACCCTGGTCTGACCGCTTGGCCTGCAGAAGCATTTTGTGATCATTGTTCTCTGCTAACTCTGCCATAACATGTGACTTGCAAACTTAAGGCGTTGTGTGTGTGTGTGTTTTTTTTTCTTTTAAACAACCTCTAGAAAAGGACGAGATCTTGTCTGATGTGGCATCTAGACTTTGGTTTACATACAGGAAAAACTTTCCAGCCATTGGTAAGTACTCTGTTTTATTACAACACGGGACAAAATATACATGTTTTTAGGAAAGAGGAAAACTTACGCTTGTAGATTTGACTTCAATATGCCACGTGCTTCATTTGAATCTTCACAGCAATCCTGGTTAAATGAATTGGCCGAGGCCTCCCTTGTAGTAGTGGCAGAGCTAGAATCCACGGCCTGACTCCAGGCCAGTGTATTTTCAACTGCAAATCACAATTTATTCCTGCAGCTGGAAGTCAGTATCATGAGTCACGACCAACATTGTTTTAAATGTAGGACGGAATGGCATAGAAAACTGTGTGTCCGCCGTGGGCAGGCAGCATGTTGCTTCAGGGATTTTAGTTTTAGTTGCGTATTTGAATGTGTGTTCTGGGTCACAGCTCTGCAACGTGTTTCTTACTTAGGTCCAGAGTGTTTGGAAGCCATTCTCTGTAGCCCTCGTCTTTTTTAGTATTTTCCACACTTACCTGTGGGGAGATTTGAAGGGCCAGGTGAATGTGACATGTTTTTATGTAACACTAAAGTACGTTCTGTTAAAAGCCATTCATCAGTGTTGTATGCCCTGGAGCTGGAAGGAGATGGGGACTGGTTCTCAGCCTTGCTCTCACCAGCGGAGAACTGAGGCCAGAGGTGAGGGCTGGGCTGGCGTCACGCTTCCTCAGTGCCAGGTCAGGGTTTGGTCCCTCTTCTAGGGTTAGTTTCATTCTTGATCCTGAAGTGAGGTGGAAGTCAAATAGCCACAGTGGCTTGACGTTGGAGAACACTGACGCGTAGGGACATACGACAGTGTCTCCTTAGGTTGATATTTAATGACACACCTTGTCAGATGTACCCTGGGAATATTGATATTTAATGATAGATTTTAATGACACACCTTGTCAGATGTGCCCTGGGAATAACTGCTCGTTCCACAAGGGCTTGTTTTGCAGCTGCGCTGAACTTGCTCTCTGGGCGGCCTTGGATGCAGGTTTGCCCCCAGCCTCCATCTCCTTCACAGCCACCCTGCTGCGTGCTGGGAAGGAGAACAGGACTGGAGCGAAGCCTTTCTGGTTTGGCAGAGGCCCTGTGCAGGAGGTAGAAGCTGGGGATGAACCCTGCAGATGAAGCAGCCCTATTGCAGTCCTGAAGGTCAAGTGTGGTGTGTTTCCTTCTTAGCCCCACAGAGATGATTTTTTAAAATTATTAATTCATTTTTTTAATAGATGGAGTTTCGCCATGTTGCCCAGGCTGGACTTGAACTCCTGGGCTCAAGCAATTCTCCCTCAGCCTCCTGAGTGTCTGGGACTACAGGTGCACACCAGCACGCCTGGCTCTGAGATAAGTTTTTATCAGCAGTGGAGCGAGGGTGATCATGGGCACTGCTGATTGGGTTGTCGGTAGGTGACAGCCACCACTACCCCAAGACACAGGGTTTATCGTCCTTGCCAGTGCGTGGAGAAGCTGCCGGAAGCCCAAAGGTGGGCACAGGGCGAACCTTGTGGTCTGACCCCTGAATCTCTGCTTCTCACTGTGGTGTGCAGCCACCAGCCAGCCTCTTGCCTGCCACACAGGCGGCCCTCTCTGTTGTCACTGCTGTGCGGTGGCATTCCACTGGACCCCTGCTATGGACTGGCAGTGTTTCCCACGTGCCTGTCACATGCCGCGCGGTTCCATGGTGCATGTTGTCCATCTTTCTGGGCTCCAGGGAGTGGCTGTGAGCCTGGAGGGAAGGGCCCAGGCACCGGTGCTGGAAGGGCTGAGTTGCCGCGCTTGTGGCCCTTCCGGTGCTCTCGGCAGCACTGGTTGTCATCAAACCTTTGAATTTCTGCCTTTCTGGTAATTGGAAAATGACTTGTCTTGTTTAACTTTGCATTTTCTGGATGACTTATGGGGGTCAGTGTCTTCATATGTTTGTCAGACCTTCTTTTTGCTCCGTGACTGACTTGTTCATGTGTTTTGCCCATTTTGAGGAGGTTGTCGGGACATTTCACTCTCCAGTAAATGTGGCCCTTGGCGTTACTGAGTCCTAAGAGGTGTGTGTTGCCCCAAGTGGAGCTGATGGATGAGGGAGTCGGTGCCTGTGGTGTGGGACTGACCCGCTGCCTCCTGCCAGTGGGCTGTGGGGCCATCTGGCCATGAGCACTTCTCTCTGTCTGCCATGACAGGGGGGACAGGCCCCACCTCGGACACAGGCTGGGGCTGCATGCTGCGGTGTGGACAGATGATCTTTGCCCAAGCCCTGGTGTGCCGGCACCTAGGCCGAGGTGAGTCACAGCCTTGGGGAGGGCGCATGGCCCGGTGTTCTCAGGAAGCAGAGGGGACTGTGGGGTCAGGGCTTTTTAGAGCAGGTCACAGGTAAACCACAAAGTAGAAACTGAGGTTTTCTTGAATAATGAGCCACTTGTTTTTATTGATTTAAAAAACTGACTTTAAAGAATGCTGATAAATCAGCAACATGGCAAGACCCTGTCTCTACAAAAAATATAAAAATTAGCCAGGCGTGGTGGCTCCTGCCTGTAGTCCCAGCTACTCAGGAGACTGATACGGAGAATTGCTGGAACCCGGGAGATGGAGGCTGCAGTGAGCTGAGATTGCGCCACTGCACTCCAGCCTCTGCAACAGAGTTAGACCCTATCTGGAAAAAAAAAAAAAAAAAAGATGAATGCTGATAAATGTTTTAAATTGCTGAAACTGTTTTCTCTACAGATTTGTTTTGATAACTTGGCATATATGTATTTGAAATCCTGGAGAACATGGGTTTTTACTTTTAAAAGATTCTGGTCGGGCATGGTGGCTCACGCCTGTAATCCCAATACTTTTTTTTGCCGAGACGGGTGACCTTGTGATCCAAGGTCAGGAGATCAAGACCATCCTGGCCAGCATGGTGAAACCCCATCTCTACTAAAAATACAAAAATGAGCTAGGCGTGGTGGCACACGCCTATGGTCCCAGCTACTTGGGAGGCTGAGGCAGGAGAACCGCTTGAACCCGGGAGGCGGAGGTTACAGTGAGCCGAGATTGCACCGCTGCACTCCAGCCTGGGTGAGAGAGCGAGACTCTGTTTCCAAAAAAAAAAAAGAAATTCTGAAAAAGGTTTGGATGCCATCTGTATCTTGAGTGAAAGTGAAGACTTGTTTCTTGTTTCTCATATTTACGGTAGAGCATACCTGTAATTTTTTTTCCAATAGATTGGAGGTGGACACAAAGGAAGAGGCAGCCAGACAGCTACTTCAGCGTCCTCAACGCGTTCATCGACAGGAAAGACAGTTACTACTCCATTCACCAGATAGGTGGGAGGCTGCAGATTGTGCCAGGCCCCCCGCCCCGGGCTGTTTGGAGAGGGTGGAGTGGTCAGTGGAGTGGTCGGTTTCCCGTAAGAGATTTTCTGGTGTTGTGGGATGTGGAGCAAGAGGCTGTAAACCTGTAAACACTGCCTCTGACGGCCTGTGCACTGCTGTCACATCACCCCCGTGGCATCCCACGTCACCCCCGTCCCACCCCGGCCCAGACCCTGGGCCTTGGCCTTCCGGCTGTCCATGCGGCTTGCAGTGCCTGGTGCTCGGCACGGCCTGGGGAAATTGGCCTCACCCCATCAGTGAATGTGAATGCTCAGATTGGCGTGGAGCGAGTAAAGAGGAGCTGGCCTTTCTTGCAGGCAAGGCCGGCTTTTGAGCCTGTGTTTTCACTTAGAGAAGGAAGTGGTCCCTTCATTTCCGGCTTCTCCCCTTTTCTAAGTTCATAGCGAAGGACAGTCCCCGAGACCTTGTTTGTCCCTTTACGCCTCCCCCAATCTTGTTGGGGCATGCTTCCATCTGAGGCTGGGTAGGGTGCTGTCCAGGCCTTCCTGTGATGTCTCCTGGCACCACGTGCCACCAGAGGTCAGGGCTGGGGGCATTGGGATGGTCGGGGCGGGTGTGTCTCGCTAATCTGGATCTGTTCCCTGCAGCGCAAATGGGAGTTGGCGAAGGCAAGTCCATAGGCCAGTGGTACGGGCCGAACACTGTCGCCCAGGTCCTCAAGTATGTACTGAACTTCCATTGCCGGGCACGGGGCAGCAGGGATGTTCCCTGGGGGTTAAATTCTCCTTGAGTTTTTATGGCTACAGGAAATAAGGGGTCTCTAATTATTTACTTCAGGGCTCTCGGAAGGTTGCCCAGAGGTGACTATGCCAAGTGGTCTTGTGAATGGGAATTTATGTTTTCTAATAAAATGAACACCATAGTCCCTTGTTCTTTGTCTGCTGCATGGATCCACCTGTAATGGTGGCTTCTGATGGGGTGGGCTGCTGAAGCTGGTGGGCAGCTGAAGCTGGTCTGCAGCCATCTGTGCAGGTGCCGGGCCCTTCCACCTCTGCGGGCTTGTTGGAGGCTGCCCTCTGCGGGCCTTGCCACCTGCGTTTCTCACGTTACCCGGAGACTCCCTGCAGCCTCGGAGACTCCCTGTAGCCTCGCTCGCCTTCCCATGCACATCAGCGTCTGAAAGTGCTCTCTGCACCTGCTCCGCACCTGCTTCCTCTCGCGCCTCACTCGGCCCCATTGCATGCTTCCCTCTGCGGCTTCCCCGCTCCCGCCCCCCAGATTCCTCTGAGATGACCCTCCTGGCAGTTCCAGAAACTTGCCTGTGGTTTCAGCTTTGTGTCCACTCTTCATTCCTCTTGATCCATCCGGGGTCATTTGGTCTGATTCCAGGTGTCCCGGCATCCCAGCATTTTTGGGGAGGCTCTGGCCAGTTCCCCCAGGACCTGCCCCCTCAGGGTCTCCTCCCTACTGGTCCAAGGGCCAGTGTCTCCACAGCCTGTCTTCAGCCATGGCTCGCTTGAAGCCTCTCCTTCTGCATCTGCCTGTTCTTTATCCCACTCGAGGTCCTCAGGCACCCCACGTTCCACGTTCCTGAAATGGCCCTGTCTCCCCTCACCCACAGCTCGCTCCTCAGCACGGCAGTCACTGCCTCCACCCAGCTTTTCTGTCAGGTTCCTTGGGGTCCTACCCAAGTCCATCTCTCCCACATCCCACGTCACCCCCGTCCCACGTCACCAGTCTGCTCCTCCGTCTCCTGGGCCCACCCTGTGTTTGGCGTGGCACCTGCTAAGTCCCCACTGCGTGCCCTTCAGAGTCCTCTGTCCAGCAGCTCCCCAGACCCCACTATACCCCCACTCACACTTCCTCTTGCTGCTGCCTGGAGTGGCCCCATCAAGTCAGTGCTGTTTCTCTGGAAACACCAGGCCACTCACCATGCTCACTGTTTCTCCTGGTTCCCTGCCCGCTCCCCACCAGCTCCTGCCTCTGTTGCTGGGTGATCCTCCCCAACCTGTAAGTGCTGCTGCACCCAAGCACACAGACGGCTTCCACAGTTACACCTGCAGGGCTGATTTGTCCCTGGACTCCAGGCTCAGGTCCAGCTGCTTATTCTGCATTTCCACCTGGGTGTCTGTGGTGCATGGTGACCTGACAGCCAGAGCTCGTGCTGGCCCCAGCCTGCTTCTCCCACAGTGGTCCTTCAGGTGTTCAAACCAAAATCTGGGATTGTTCTAGACCCCTCTTTCTTTTTGAGATGGAGTCTCGCTCTGTTGCCAGGCTGGAGTGCAGTGGCGTGATCTCAGCTCACTGCAACCTCTGCCTCCTGGGTTCAAGTGATTCTCCTGCTTCAGCCTCCCGAAGTACTGGGATTACAGGCGTGAGCCACCGCACCTGGCCGGGACTCCTCTTTCTTTTTTCTTTTTTTTTTTCGAGACAGAGGATAGCTCTGTAGCCCAGGCTGGAGTGCAGTGGCGCGATCTTGGGCTCACTGCTACCTCCGCCTCCTGGGTCCCGGTTCAGGCAGTTCTCCTGCCTTAGCCTCCCAAGTAGCTGGAATTACAGGCATGCACCACAATGCCCAGCTAATTTTTGTATTTTTAGTAGAGATGGGATTTCACCATGTTAGCCAGGCTGGTCTTGAACTCCTGACCTTGTGGTCCACCCGCCTCGTCCTCCCAGAGTGCTGGGATTACAGGCGTGAGTCACCAAACCCGGCCAGTTCCTCTTTCTTTCAATGGGCCGTTCAGAATATGTCCAGACTCTGACCAGCGTTCATCCTTTAACTCCCTGTGCTGGTCCAACCAAGCCCCATCTTCTTCCTTCTTGTTGATCTTCCTTCTCTCTTTGTCATCCTAGAGTCTCTTTAGCAAATAACAGCAGAGTCATCTGCATCAGACACATTGGCCACTGCTCTGCCCTGAACTGCCCTGGCACTTCGCTGCTGACTCAGGCGGGGTGCTCTACCCCACCTCCCTGGCATGACACCTTGTGCTCCGGGGACACCCCAGCCTCGGGGCCTTTGCACGTGTGGTCCCTGGCACTTGGACCCTGCTCCCCCCACACCTGCCTGGGTTGCGCCCCATGTCTGCGCAGGTACCCTTTGGCACCCAGGGGTAGCTACGTTAGTAGCGCCACTCCCCGTTCCCGCGTTACTGTTCTCTGCAGTGCCGACCACCGGCCCACGTGGCTGCTGCTTCCTTGTTTGCCCTTCGCCAGGTCACCTTTGCCAGTGCCGCTGTGTCCCTTGTAGTGTGGATGCATCTTCAGCGCTGCAGCTGGGCCGGAGGTGGGAGGAGGAAGGTGGTGTGGGGGTGGGGCGGGGAAGCAAGCTGTCCTCCCATCTTCTGCACTGCAGCTGGGCTGGAGATGGGAGGAGGGAGGTGGTGGAGTCGGGGGTGGGGGTCAGACTGTCCTCCCAGTGTCCCCTTTGGGCTTGAGCATTGGGAGGGCCTGTGTGGCCATCCCAGTCCCGTGCTCCACCCCACCCAACTCCCCTCCACAGGTCTTCCATTCTGCTCCCAGGAGCACCAGGGCCTTGCTGCCTCGGGGCCTTTTCTGTTGTTTTACCTTTTGTTGAGGTCCTCTGACCCCACCTCCACCAGACCCGAGAGGAGATCAGAGTCCCATTAGACTTTTGGCTGCAGAATCTGCTCTTCCTGCGGCCACGGTTCCTCCTCACTGGTGTGCACAGTCATGCTCCCCACTAAGCTGCAGGTTTCTCTGCAAGGACTCAGGTTCCTTGGTTGTCAGCTCAGCGTGTTTGGTGGAAGGGAGAGTAGAGCAGAGCATGAAGGTGCTGGGAGGCCTTGCTCAAAGTTGGCAAAACTCACAGTGTCTCAGAGCTGGGTTCATGTTCTAGTTCTTGCCTCTGTGCCAGTGAGACCAGGAAACCAGGCTGCTCAAAACCCTCTTGTGTGTGCTCTCTGTGGAGACTGGGGCAAGGGCAGGCCCCCTGGGCCTCAGGTGAGAAGAAGCAGATTTACTCTGGGCTTTCTTCCTGTCTGTGGCATTGGCTATGCCCCGGACTTTAGGAACCTTGGCCCTTCTCATCCAAGAAGCACCTCTAATGCGACACTGCTTCCCACAGCTGTCACTGCAAAGGTGAGACGTCTTTGAATTGTACAAAAGCTTATGGTCATTCTGCTCTCTGTAGGAAGCTTGCTGTCTTCGACACGTGGAGCTCCTTGGCAGTCCACATAGCAATGGACAACACCGTTGTGATGGAGGAAATCAGTAAGTGGCTCAGGGTTTCTGTGGACAAGAAAGTTGAAATTATGGGCAGCACGTGCACTTCCTCGCCTGAGTCTCCACAGGAGCCTCGGCGAGTGTTGTCAGTCGCCCCGTGCCGTGCTGGAGCTCTGTGGGGCCTGCATGCCAAGCCAGATGCACAGTGGCCCCGCTGTCCTCTCCTGGTGGTCATACCAAGAGAGGAGCGCCCAGGCTCTCTGGAGGCCGAGACTGGGTATCTCACGTCATGTTTTGTGTCTTGGTTACAAATCATTTGTGAAGGCGTGCTGTACTCAGGCGCCCTCGTGTGGGAATTCTGGTGAAGTTCTGTTGCGTGCCTTGATGTGCCACAGATGCAGCAGTCCTCTGGCTGTACCATCTCGAAAGGCGTGTCGTGAAGGCAGAGCTCTTTTCAGCTTTCTGGAAGAAAGAAAGGTCTGCTGCAACCCTGAAGGAATCTAGGCGTGGCAGCGTTTACCTCTAGGAGGAAAACTGTGGCTCAGTTTTAACAAATGGGCTCATTGAGTGAGTTCCAAATTCATGTTTCACCTTCCATGATGTAGCCAAGCTGAGAACTCTTAAAAATGCCTCACCAGCCGGGCGCGGTGGCTCACGCCTGTAATCTCAGCACTTTGGGAGGCGGAGGCGGGTGGATCACGAGGTCAGGAGATCGAGACCATCCTGGCTAACACGGTGAAACCCCGTCTCTACTAAAAATACAAAAAATTAGCTGGGCGCGGTGGTGGGCGCCTGTAGTCCCAGCTACTCGGGAGGCTGAGGCAGGAGAATGGCGTGAATCCGGGAGGCGGAGCTTGCAGTGAGCCGAGATCGCGCCACTGCACTCCAGCCTGGGCGACAGAGCGAGACTCCGTCTCAAAAAAAAAAAAAAAGCCTCACCACCTTCTTTTACTCAGGGCCACCTTTTTCCCAAGGAACTTCTCAAAACGCCCTCAATTCCAATTTTATTGAAGTTCTACAGGTACACTATTGCCTTGAATCCAGTTTTCCTTAAGAAAGAGCTCATTTAGGCCAGGCGCGGTGGCTCACACCTGTAATCCCAGCACCTTGGGAGGCCGAGGCGGGTGGATCATGAGGTCAGGAGTCCGAGACTAACCTGGCCAACATGGCAAAACCCCGTCTCTATTAAAAATAAAAAAACTAGCCGGGCATGGTGGTACGCGCCTATAGTCCCAGCTACTTGGGAAGCTGAGGCAGAAGAATCGCTTGAACCTGGGAGGCGGAGGTTGCAGTGAGCCTTGATCACGCCACTGCACTCCAGCCTGGCGACAGAGTGAGACTCCGTCTCAAAAAAAAAAAAGAAGAGAAAGACCTCATTCAGAGTCACAGATTCACAGTGGGAGTGGGTCCTGCCCTGTGACTGGGTGTGCCAGGTCACCGCACAGGTGTGTGCTGGGTCACAGACGCACCCCTTCCCTGCCTCTGTTTGATGCAGTGTGCCGCGTGTCACTGTCCGTCTTCACTGAATGTGCAGTGTGCCGCCTGTCACTGCCCATCTTTTGGATGCTTGATGGTCCCACCTTTGGCCAGTGGCCACCTCAGTCTGGCGATGTCTTTTGCTGTGTTGTGGCGTTTTTCTGGGTTAAGCAGATGCTGCAGGTGCCTCTGAACGTTCCCTGCCTAGCCCTGGAATCAGTCTGGCTCCTCTGAGTGGGGAGTGGTGCTGAGAAACCTCAGTCCAGGTGCCGGGCATGCTCCGTGCTCCTGGAGTGTCTTCCCCATCACTTCACCCTCCAGCTGATGAGTTCTCCGGACTCACGGGTGTGTGTAGGTGGAAGGGGTGGGAGCAAGGAAAGAGGTTGCTGAGGAGGCCCGGAGGGAGCAGGTTCCGGCTGTGCTGGCACTAGCCAGGCTGGTGGGCTGCGCGGGTGTGGGCTGCGTGGGTACAGGCTGGCGGGCGGGTGCGGGCTGGTGGGTGGGTACGGGCTGGTGGGCTGCGCGGGTGCCGCCTGACTGGCTGCGCGGGTACAGGCTGGCGGGCGGGTACGGGCTGGCAGGCTGCAGGCACTTTTATTTCTGTGATTTTCCTCTGAAGTGCACATGGCTTTTTCTCGTACTGTTCTGTGTGTGTGCTTTATTTCACAATAAAACAAATTAAGTATGCATAGAAAATATGTCTTTTTTCTCTTGGTGGCAAGATTATGAAAAAATTTTCTTACGCTTTTCTATATTTTCCAAGTTTGAATTTCAGTGTAAGTACCTGGCTTTGTAATGCCCTTTTTCTGTTACACAATCATAATTTGCTTGCTTGTGGGAGCACTTTTGCGCAGCTGTGCTTGGTTAGTGAAAGCGTGTCTCCCCTTCTAGGAAGGTTGTGCAGGACCAGCGTTCCCTGTGCAGGAGCCGCTGCGTTTCCTGCAGATTCCGACCGGCACTGCAACGGATTCCCTGCGGGGGCTGAGGTCACCAACAGGCCGTCGCCGTGGAGACCCTTGGTGCTTCTCATCCCCCTGCGCCTGGGGCTCACGGACATCAACGAGGCCTACGTGGAGACGCTGAAGGTGGGTCTTGCCATGCGGCGCTTGCCCTGGGTCCTCGTCCCCTTCTCCCAGTTTTTAGTCACTTTCAGTGCGTCATCGTCACGTGGCCGTTTGTGCAGCCAGCTCTCGGGGGAGGGGTAAACGACCATGGTTTACACCATTTCCCGAGGGGTGGGTGGGCGTGAGGCACGTCCGTCAGGAGACATGCTGCTCTACTTCTACAAGTGTCAAGGCGAATGTCGAGAATGAAAGCATGAGGCACTTGTTGTAGGGGGTCCTCGGAACCAGGTGCCACTCCTTGGCCTGACAGGGAACCCTGCCCCTCCCAGGTCTCCACTGTGCCCTAGGCATGCCCGCCCCACTCCCCCACAGCCCTCTTGGCCTGAGCTCCCTTTGGAGGGTGGGTTGGCCTGTGGTGAAGAGACTTGTGGGCTGGGCTTGGGGATGGGCAGGGCTCTGTGAGGAACTCCAGCCACAGGCTCTCCCCCATGTCATGAAAGTAAAAGGGGGCCAGGCCCGGTGGCTCACGCTCGTAATCCCAGCACTTTGGGAGGCCGGAGCGTGCAGATCACGAGGTCAAGAGTTCGAGACCAACCTGGCCAACATGGTGAAACCCCGTCTCTACTAAAAACACAAAAATCAGCTGGGCGTGCTGGCACACACCTGTAGTCCTAGCTACTCAGGAGGCTGAGGCAGGAGAATCGCTTAAACCCGAGAGGCAGAGCTTGCAGTGACCCGAGATTGTGTCATTGCACTCCATCCTGGGTGACAGAGTGAGACTCCATCTCAAAAAAAAAAAAAAAGCAGAAGGGAAAACCATCCTTTCTTCAGTTAACTCAAATTTTAGACTAAGGAGTCACATTTGTATGGAACTGAAATGTAGCTTTCTGTTAAAATTATTCAGTTGTCTGAACTTGGCCCCTCCCTCCAGCCTTCTGCCCACCCTGTTGTGTCCCTGCTGCCCCCGCACGTGGGCCCCATCTCCATCGCTTCTGCCCTGTCAGGTCAAAGCACTCAGCAGGGCCGCCTCCCCCACACCTGCTCACATCTCCTGCCAGCCCCCCTCACTCCCAGCCTCCCCAAAGCCCACCTCCGACATGAAGCTTCCCTGGGCCGAGCCTGCAGATTAGGTTTCTTGCACCTGTAGGATGTCCCGTGGTCTTTCCTGGACAGTAAGTTCTTCGGGACCTTGTCCCCTCCTGTCCCCTCTTGTGTCACCCAGTTGGGTCTCAGCAGGCCCTTGGGCCCCCTATGGCAGTGGGTGGGGGGACCGTCTGCTCCCGCCTGGGACCTGTGCTCAGCTTCCCGCCCTCCACAGCACTGCTTCATGATGCCCCAGTCCCTGGGCGTCATCGGAGGGAAGCCCAACAGCGCCCACTACTTCATCGGCTACGTTGGTGAGTCGAGTTCCCACCGTGTCCCTGTGGGCCTGTGCCCTTTAAGGGCATTCTGTGAGCAGGTCCCACACGCCAGGTGGTCACTTGAGGCCACCAGTAGAAAAGCAGCATGCTCTGAGTGGGGGGGTTCACGTGCAGCCTGGCCGCTGGCAGCCTCCTGCATACCCCGTTCCCTGATGGTCCCATGCCCTCTGCTCCCTCCCCTCCTCCTTCCCGCTGCTTCTCAGCATGATGTGGGTACAGTGGGTCTGAAACGCGGCCACCTCTGTCCCTTTCCTCTGCTGGCTCGGCCGCCCATCTGCCTGCCTGCCTCGTCCTCCCAGGTGAGGAGCTCATCTACCTGGACCCCCACACCACGCAGCCGGCCGTGGAGCCCACTGGCAGCTGCTTCATCCCGGACGAGAGCTTCCACTGCCAGCACCCGCCATGCCGCATGAGCATCGCGGAGCTCGACCCGTCCATCGCTGTGGTACGTGGCGGTCTCCTGAGCACTCAGGCCCGTATTCCCAGTTGTCTTGTACTGAATGCTGTTTGGGAATGACGAAGAAAATCTTCAGATTTTTGCATTTTGGTTTTTTTTCAACGTGTTGGGATGAGTATTGCGTTCACGGGGTTGGGATTCTGAAGGGCACAAGAGCCTGAACCGTGTCCTCGCACCTTCACGTCCCTCCCCCAGGCACCACCTCCTGCGCAGCCTTCATGGCCTTCGAGTGGCCCGGAGAGGGTGTGTCTGGGCGTGAGCGTGTGTGGGCACGTGCTGAGTGTGCGTGGATGAGTATGAGCCATGGTGTGTTCCCCTCACACCTACATTTAAACACGCGGGCGGCTCCTCCACCCCCTCCTGTACTCCCTTCCTCACACCCACACAGACACACGGGCGGCCCCTCCACCCCCTCCTGCGCCCTCTTCCTCACACCCACGTTTAAACACGCGGGCGGCCCCTCCACCCCCTCCTGTGCCCCCTTCCTCACACCCACACAGACACACGGGCGGCCCCTCCACCCCCTCCTGTGCCCTCTTCCTCACACCCACGTTTAAACACACGGGCGGCCCCTCCACCCCCTCCTGCGCCCTCTTCCTCAGACCCACGTTTAAACACGCGGGCGGCCGCTCCACCCACTCCTGTGCTCCCTTCCTCACACCCACACAGACATACGGGCGGCCCCTCCACCCCCTCCTGCACCACCTTTTGTTTTCCGGAGGCTCTGACTTGATCTCTCTGGGGGATTTCCTAAGAACGAGCTTCCCTGTTTCTCCATTTTGATTACCTAGTTGTGATTTTTGGTGTGTGATTTATGCAGACCTGCCTGCCCTCAAATATATTTGATGGTGAAAGAGACCAAAGAAAAACCCCTAGAAATCATGAATGACAGTGACATGCTTAGGGGAGCAGTTAACTGAGTCAGGGGCTCTGTTGTGGATGCTCTGCCCCGTTTAGGAGGAAGAAGGCAGATCTGGGCCTGAAATGGCACAGTCTCTGAGCTGTGGCCCAGCCCCAGAGCGCACACCACGCTCTATGCACCTGCTGGGCAGGGTGGCAGGAGTGGGGAACATGGGCTAGAGCTCTGTGGCTCACACTTTCTTTTTTTTTTGAGACGGAGTCTCGCTCTTGTCACCCAGGCTGGAGTGAGTGGCGTGATCTCGGCTCACTGCAAGCTCCGCCCCCCAGGTTCACGCCATTCTCCTTCCTCAGCCTCCCGAGTAGCTGGGACTACAGGCTCCCGCCACCATGCCTGGCTAATTTTTTGTATTTTTAATAGAGATGGGGTTTCACTGTGTTAGCCAGGCTGGTCTTGATCTCCTGACCTCGTGGTCCACCTGTCTCGGACTCCCAAAGTGCTGGGATTACAGGCGTGAGCCACCGCGCCCGGCCTGGCTCACACTTCTTACCAGAACCTAGTCACGAATACATCGTCTAACTAGAATTAAGTATGTTTGTTACCATAAATGCAGCTTGGTGGTTTACAGTGATTGGCAGTCTCTGAGTCAGGTCAGGCTAGAGACGGGAGCGGACGCGTGAACATTGAGGAGTTGAGACCAAAGGGGCCGCCCGGTGGGATAACTGTCCTCACCCGTGAGGAGGAGGAACGTCCCCTGTCCCCCGGGGAGAGTGCTCCCACACAAGCCGGGGCCGCGGAAACGGCGTCTTCAGAGGAAGGGAGTGCCCAGTTTGAACTTCTCCCATTTCGTCTTTGTTTTCCCCGTTTCTTTTTCTTCCTGTGTTAACATCGGCACGTCTGGCAGCGTTAATCCCTAGTGACTGTCGTTATAGGTGGCTTCCTAGTGACCGTCGTTACAGGCGGCTTCCTAGTGACTGTCGTTACAGGCGGCTTCCTAGTGACCGTCGTTACAGGCGGCTTCCTAGTGACCGTCGTTACAGGCGGCAGCTTTAAGGATGTGATTAGGGTGATCCTCGGCAGGTCCCCTGTCTCCTCAGCAGGAGGCTCCCCGTGGCAGTTCTCAGTGGCCTTTGCCACCAGTTGCCACCAAGCTTCCAGGGAGATGCTGGGTAAAGGCTGAGACCCAGCGGCCCTGCCTCACAGTCGCACTTGGCCCTAACTCATAACCTGCCTCATTCCTAGAAGATCGGTGAGGCCTAACAAATGCACACCACATACCATCTCATGGGTGAATGAAGGCAGAGCAACATAGTGGAACCTGAGGGGAGCCGGGCACTGGTGCAGCAGGCCGTGCACAGGGCACCCTCGGGGCTCCCTTCCCGGCCCCAGGAGGCGAGACAGGCCGGAGTGTCCAGCACGTGCACGCTGGGGGCCTTTGCTGCGCCACTGGCCGGGGGAACGGGAGCCCCTGCCTCTCTTCGCCGACTGCAGATGTGGGTGTTCTGCTCATAGTCATTTCGTTTTAGGGGTTTTTCTGTAAGACTGAAGACGACTTCAATGACTGGTGCCAGCAAGTCAAAAAGGTTTGTAGCCGCCCCACCACCCGCAGCCGAGCTGGACCGCCCAGGGAGACAGGCAGCGGGGTGTGCAGGGGCCGAAGGCCAGCGTCCAGGTCTCAGGCAGCCTCGCGGGGCGGGGAGCTTTGTCCTGCCTGGCATAGCTGTGCAGCTGAACGGCGTGGGGTGTCCTGGATTGCCCACCTGGCAACACGGTTAACAGCCCTGGGGACGGATGTTGCGTGTTGACTTTAGAATGAGATTTCCAGTGTCCTCATCCGTCTCCTGTTGAGATGGGGGTGGTGATGGGGTGCCGAGCTGCGCTGGCTGAGTGCGTGTGGCCCATCCCCCTCTGCCATCGTGGTCAGACTGTGTGTTGATCGCCACACTGGGTCCTCGTGTAGCTGTGAGTGTGGAAGCTGCCTCTGTTCTCATCAGTGAAGTGGAATGACAGTCAGGTTTGGCCCCTTTCTCTTGGCTGCAGCAAGCACTGGGGTGAGGCTGCCCCTAATGACCATGTCTCACTAACAGCTGTCTCTGCTCGGAGGCGCCCTGCCCATGTTTGAGCTGGTGGAGCAGCAGCCTTCACACCTGGCCTGCCCCGATGTCCTGAACCTGTCCCTAGGTGAGAACTGCGGCTGCAGGGCCAAGTCCAGGTGGGGTCCCTCGGAGGTGGGGTCCCTCGGGGGTGCGGTCTGTGCCTTTGCTTCCCCAGTCCTGGCCCCCTTGGTTTTGACTATTAAGGTGTGTGTGAGCCTCAACTGTGAGCACTTGGCAGTGGTTTGCATGTGAGACCAGGGGCAGATTGGAGCGTCCTCTCCTCCAAGCCTGCGCCCAGCAACCCGGGACCCCCCTCGCCTTCCCCACCCGCGCTGCCTGCCCAGGGCACTGTGGAGCTGGGCGTGCTCCCATGGGGTCCTCACGGCTCTGGAGCAGACAGAACACACACTCTGTGATGACGCAGTCCTGGGTGGGGGACTCGTCCACTTGGGCACCACTGGCCATGGGTGGCGTAGACCCCTTGGACCATGGCTAACGTGCCAAAGGATCCGGCCTGGGCTCGCGCAGTGAAGCGAGTGTGTGGCCGCGAGCTTGTCCTCCTCGTACCTGTCTCACCATGAGAAGCTCTACAAGGCAGTGACAGTGGAACCACTCCTGATGACCACGAGGGTCAGGGTGCAGCGTGGGAGACACAGGACAGAGGCCCCCTCAGGCCTGAGATTGTGCCCGCCGCCCCGGTCTTCCTCACCCTGCCCCGCTCCTCTTCCCTGCTCCCTCCCCCCATATTCGCAGGTCTCCACAACCCTGGACCTTTTCACAGCTGCTTGGGGACAGCCGTCTGTGGGCCCCTCAGGGTGGGGCTGCAGAGCAGGTGCTGCTCAGTCTGCCCCATGCCACGGGCACTTGACTCACACGGAAGTAGCCCACCTGAGATGCCTGATGAGCTATGTCCTGTTCCTTCTAGATTCTTCTGATGTAGAGCGACTGGAAAGATTCTTCGACTCAGAAGATGAAGACTTTGAAATCCTGTCCCTTTGAAAATCCTGGGGTCGGGGGTGGCACCTGTGAGAGCCTGGGGCTCCTGGTGCCGCCGCACTTCATCCATCCCGCCCGCTCGCCTGCCGAGGGCCGCGCCCCGTGCTGCCTCCCCCCAGAGGGCCACCCGCTCCGCTTGTGGACTGAGGCTGCGCTGCCCGGGAGGCCTTACTGCTTGGTGTCCGACTGCCCAGCTCAGAGTGCCCGTCAGGGCCTGTGCATCTGCACACGGAGCCGTCTGTCAGGAGCTTCCAGAGCGTTCTCTGGACACTGCCAGCCCCGCGTTAGCGCCTGGGCCTCAGTCCCACTTGCTCCCAGGCGCCGGTTCTGTGGTTGGTTTGGAATTAAAGTCCTGTTTGAAGTTGTCAGACACAGACATGGATTTCTGGGGCGCCTCCTGAGTCAGTCTCAGAAGACCTGTGCAGGCCGGCGTGAGAGGAGCAGCAGCCACGCTGCGGCCCCACGCCCAAGGACCGGGCTGCTCTCGAAGGGGGCGCCCATGGCTGTGTCCTCTGCCCAGCCTGGTTACCAAGGGCGACCTCAGTGGGAGATGAGGTCGGAGGAACAAAGGCAAAGGTTGCTTTGGGGAGAGCAGTATTCAGGAAGTGGGTGTGTGGGAAACCTGAAGATGGCGTGCAGAGGACACGGCGTGGGCAGCCTGGGCAGAAGGGCGGCTGGCTGTCCTGGGGCTGTTGCTAGAGTGCCTGTCCTCAGAGTGTCCCTTTCCAGGGCTGTGGCATTCTGTGGTGGCTTCCCCAGGTGTGGCGAGGGGTGGGGCGGGGCCTCCACCTGTGACAGTCGGGCTCGGGGGTGGACAGTGTGCTTCTCCTAGGAGCCTTCCCTGTGTCCTTGCCTTGCTGAGAATTGCCCTCCTGTGTCACTGAGGTGTTAGGTGGTTTAGGGCCCAAAGGGGAAAACCACCCGAGCCTTGTGGTGTGTGATGGGCAGACATCACAGGGTGGCATCCTCTGGTGGCATTTCCGGAACCTCAGCCCTGATTCCAGAACCCACCACCGCCTGACCCTGTGTAACCTGCTGTCCTGGGTCCCGGAGTGCACTCTGCCCCGCTGCTGTGCTGCCTTCCTGGGGAAGTGGCTTTGCCCCACTAGGGAATGTAAACAGGAGGGCTTAGGGAGCGTGGGCACGGTGAGCATGGGCACCTTTCTCATGAGCACCTACTGTGGCATTGGCAGGACTCGCTGCTGCTGCTGCTTGTATAGGTGTGGGGACCGGAGATCCCCTCAGGACACGCCGCCCGCTCTGCAGTGAGTGACCCACCTGGGTAGCAGAGGACACCATCCCCAGTCCCCCCCCCAAGACATAGTTTATTTCCTCGTATCCTTTCTCCCTTGGGTGTAGTTGGGGTGGGGAAGGAGGGAAGGCTGGGGCGATCTTCATTCCTTGGGCTCTGCGTCTAAGTCCATGGTGCACCGCTGTGCTGGGAGCTGTGGGGGCCTGCTGTAGTGGGAGTGTGGAACACCTTGACCAAAGGGGAGCTTTTTCTTGTGTGTTTTGAAAAAGGCTTAATGAAGAGAATGTTGTTCATTCTTAGTAGTATAGTTTGCAATTCTTAATGGCAAATAATAAGTTTCAGTAGAAAACAAACCTTGTGTCTATTTTTTCCTCAAGTTATAATTGTGATTTCCAGAAAAAAACCAAGTGAATGTTTCAGCCCATAGCATCACGTAAAGGATGTGGCTGCCTGCGTGGTGGGCTGTGGGAGCCTGAGCAGGTACGTCCCCAGCCCTGGCAGGCGGCCTGTCCTGCCTGTAGCCTGGCTGTCTGTGAGCCGTGACATCCGCCCTCTCATACAACCCTAGAAGGAAAAAGTGCAAGGAAACTAGGATTTTAGGAAAGTAAAATGGTTCCCATTCTTCAACAGGAGGAAGTTGCAGAAAGTGCCCTGAGTTGTAGGTTTGGCTCAATTTGAATCACAGCAAAGCCTTCCCCAAGCGAGCAGTGACTGGCCTGGCCTGTGGGAGGGCCATGTCTGGGGCACAGCAGGGGGCTTGGTGAGGACATCGCTCACTCTGGCCAATGCGTCCCTGTGGGCAGTCCTGGTATAGGTGCGAAGGGCCCAAAGCCAGACAGGAGCGGGCACTGCTGGGGCCCTGGTGAGCTGGCTGAGGACTTGCAGCCTCTCAGATGCTCTTACTCGCTTCCTGTGGCTGCTCTAGAAGATGACCACATTCAGTGCCTGAAACAGCACAGCCTCTTCCAGACCCGGAGGGCAGAGAGCCACCTCGTGCTGTGGGCAGGGCTGCTCCTCTAGGGGAGAACATTGCTGTGTCTTTTCTAGCTCCTGGATGCCAGAAACTGCTTGGCTCATGGCGCTTTCTTCCAACCTCACAGCCAGCAACATGGCATCTCTCCAGCTTCTGTTGCTGGCATCTCACTTCCTGACTCGAACGGCCTGCCTCCCTGTTAGGCGGACCCCTGTGATGGGCCAGGCATGGTGGCACCAGCCTGTAATCCCAGCACTTTGGGAGGCTAAGGGGGGAGGATCACTTGCGCCCAGGAAAGAGAGGCTAGTGAGTCAAGACTGCACCACTGCACTCCAGCCTGGGCGACAGAGCCAGACCTCGTCTTAAGACAACAAAAAAAGGCCCCTGTGATGACACTGGGCCCGCCTGGATAGTCCAGAAAGGTCTCCCATCTGAAGGTTCCTCACCCAGGCCCGTCCCACAGCCCCTGGCAATGCTTACCCAAGTGAAATCCTTTTGTTTTGCCTGGATTTGTCTCTTGGCCACAGAAAGATACTGAGACCCACAGCTGCTGCCCCCACAGATGGGGGACCCTGCCTGCCTTCCACTCCAGCACACTGTATGCTGCTCTCTACCCAAAAAGTGCTCTGTGGGACAGATTCTACCAGGAGTGTCAAATCATTCCAAGTGTCTCTTAAAAGGGAATGCAATGGGCCAGGCACGGTGACTCATGCCTGTACTCCCAGCACTTTGGGAGGCCGAGGCAGGTGGATCACTTGAGCCCAGGAGTTTGAGATGAGCCTGGCTGGCAACATAGCAAAATCCTGTCTACAAAAAATAAAAAAATTAGCCAGGCATGGTGAAGGCCTGTAGGCCTACCTACTCAGGAGGCTGAAGTGGGAGGATCACCTGAGCCCAGCAGGTCTGCAAAAGGCTGCAGTGAGCCACGATCGTGCCACTGCACTCCAGCCTGGGTGACAGTGAGACCCTGTTTCCAAAAAAATAAAAAGGGATAGGATGAAAAGTTAAGCTCCAGGGTTGCAATGAAAATAGCAGAGTTAACTTCGGTGAGTTCAGGATGTAAGCTGTGGTGACACTCGGGCGTAGCCTGGCTGGAGCCCAGGGCATGGCTGCAACCGTTCAGACCCACAGTGGGACTCCCTCAACTAGGCAGGAACTAAGGTCCAGAAAGGCCCTACTGGGCCCAATGAAGGCGCTTCTCTCCCATTCAAAGCCAGCTCTGTCCTCAGTCTAAGAAAAGTGAAGCGTTCCACAAACAATTTTCAGGTCAATTTTTACTAGTGTCTAGAAGACATTTAGGAGAATTCCAACTGATTACCATTTACAGTGATCACAATGAAACTACTCAGAGTTATCACTGAACTTCAGTAAAAAATACAACAGAGTACCATCAGGACACTGATGGCAGCGAGAGGGCAGGAGACTGCTCCATCACTCTGCTCATGTCTATACTGCCAAGGTCCCCACCACACCCCCGCCCGGGGCAGAAGAGGCAGCGTGCAGATCTCTGCTGCCGGGAAAGAGCTCCTGAAGTCGTGGGCTCTGGATACCGCTGGAGACGGGGCCTTCCGCGGGCCTCCCACCTCTCGAGGGACTACAGGGGAGAGGCGTCTCCAGTGGGCAGCCTTGGGTCACTTCCACAGCTCCCCCAGCGGCTTCTCCGTGGCAGTGTGGATGGCGTCCTCAGAGAGCACACGGATGTCCTCGTGGACAGCTTCAATGCTTTTGGAAGCATCCACCATCTGTTCCCACCGGGGTTTCGGGAGAAAGAGGCTCATCAGCACGTTCCAGGCTGGGCGTGGGAGCCCACACCTGTAATCCCAGCACTTTGGGAGGCCCACGAGGGAGGACTGCTTGTACCCAGGAGTTCAAGACCAGCCTGGGCTACACAGGGACACCCAACCTCTGCAAAATAATTGGCACCACTGTACTCCAGTCTGGGTGACGCAGTAAGACCCTGTCTCAAAACAACACCATGTTTCATTCTGTCCTCTGTGCTCGTGCGGATTTCACACAGGCCAGGCTCTGGAAGGCCAACCTGAACCTCCTGGCAGTGTGGTGACCTCTGGGATACCCCACACCTCTCTGAACCTCAACCTTGATAGTGCCCACGGTACAAAGCCACCCGGCATTCCTGCCACAGCCCTGATGCAGGAGAAACATGACGTGCCAACTGCCCACTCCTGCTCTCAGCCGACCTGAGCCTCCTTGTGACCCCAACCCCGATGAGTGCCCACTTGCAGGAGTGAGGCATAGCCCTCAGCACAGCCAGGCCCACCCAGCCCACCAGCTCGCAAGCAGTGAGTGGGAAGCACAGAGGGCAGACCCTGCCCTGCCCACGCTCCTGGGCACTGCCTAGAACGTAAGGAAGTTCCGCAGCAGCCAGACAGGACCGATGCAACACTGGGCCTGACCCGTCCCTGAGGGGAAGATGAATTTGGTCCTAACAGCTGTGCCGTACAATGGCGTGAATGGTGCGAGGAACGTGGGGAGGGCATGAGCACGCGGGACGGCCTTCTCTGCACCAAGGCAGGCAGTGAGAGGAACTCGGAAGCACTGGCGTCTCAACGGCGTCTCAGCTTCTGTCAGGTGGCGCAGGACCCTTCTCAAGCTTCTTGAGAGATTTCCGGGATACCCCACACCTCTCTGAACCTCAACCTCAACAGCAAATTCTAGAAAATCTGCCAGAAGCGTGGAAGGCACTGGGAAGAGTCTAACCATTTCATGAGGTGTGACTGTGATGGAAGGAGAGTGACCCTCTACACAAAAGCCGCCTTCCCAGATGCCACTCACCGGCCACTGTGCAGCCACACAGCTGTCGCCCAGAACCACCCAAGATGAGCCTCTCCGGGCAGCTGACTGCCAGAGGGAATGCCGCACGGCCAGAAAAGGGTGCTGCTATCCCGCCTGTGTTCCGGGAAACGAAAAGCTGTGACCAGCATCATCTGCAGGCACAGCCGGTCAGGCTGGGGCAGGCCCTCGAGCACTGCTGTGTGGAGCTCAAGGGACAGAAGCTCTGCGGGCCGTGGCCACGACGACAGTGCTGGCGCCGGACGTGCCAGAAGCCGTGGCTGCTGTCTGGAAAGAGGCCACGTGGGCGGCGGTGGGCACAGGCGACTGGAGCCTGGGGGAGAGGTGGGGGCTGTGGTTGGGAGGAGCAGAGGCGTGCCTGCGTGTCCACTGGGAGGGGAGAGCCCAGCGTCCTGGGAGTAGACAGAGTAGAGCCAGACCTGGGACTGCTGAGACTGAAGGAGGCAGGGCTGAAGGGAAAGCCAGCACACGGCACCCTCCTGAACTCAGCCAGGTACGGCCGCAGCGCCCACGCCCAGCGGGAGGCCTGCACCAGAGGACAGTGGCAGGAACAGCCTGGCACTCATGTCTGAAGAGGGGCTGAGGCTGTGGAGGATTGTGCAGACTCTCACCTGACCCACCAGACAAAGCGCCAAATGTCAACATTTAGCAAAACTCACCGGATTAGAATTTGCTGGCACTAGCTGGGTGCAGTGGTTCACACCTATAAACCCAGTACTTTGGGAGGCCGAGACGTACAGATCGCCTGAGGTCAGGAGTTGGAGACCAGCCTGACCAACGTGGAGAAACCCTGTCTCTACAAAAATGCAAAAAAAGTTAGCCAGGCATGATGACAGGTGCCTGTAATCCCAGCTACTCGGGAGGCTGAGGCAGGAGAATCACTTGAACCCAGGAAGTGGAGGTTGCAATGAGCCGAGATGGCGCCACTGCACCCCAGCCTGGGCGACAGAGCAAGACTCTGTCTCAAAAAAAAAAGAATTTGCTGGCACTGAGAACCCCTGAACGACTACTCCCGGGGCTCCGCATCTGGGAAGACCAGACAGAACGGCAGCAGCTCTGCTGGTGCGCCTGTGCCAGTCACCACAGGGTGTAATCCTGAGCCACTGCTCGACGGTTCCTACTTCCTACTGTGCAGTTCTGGGATTCTCACCTTCCAGTTCAAAGTCGTGTCTCTCATGAGCTGGTGGAAACACTGGAGGGCCCGCTCCTGGAAAGCCCTGTTCTCGTAGCGCTCATGGCCATACGCTCCCCGCTTGGCAGCATCTGCCAACTGTAACTGGAGGAACAGGACCAGGTCGGGTTTGGGAAGGCCCACGTCTGGCTGTTTACACCAATCTAGGGAAAAATTCTGCCAACAAAGAACCCAACAGTTAAAGCTTAGTGTGGTCTAGGTTTTTGTTTCAAAAGTCATAAAAACGGGAAAAAATTTGGGGACATTTGGTGAGGCACCAAGACGTGAGACTGTTTATATGGTGGCTCGTGTTTAATTTTTAAAACCTCAAATTAAAGGTTTTGCTTTCTCCAATGTCACCTTCTCGTTTTTCCTTTGTAAACAGACAAGTGGACAGA